CCCCCCCCCCCCCCCCCCAATAAAGCTTCTTGGCTATTCTTTTTGTGGCCAGCAAACTAGAATTATCGAACAAGTTGAGACTATACAATTTTATAGGGTGGCCTTGATCCTCTACCTCAGTTTTATCATTAAAATTGCAAAAACATTTAAAAAAAATAAAAATTGGGCGTCGGTTAGAACGATACTTTTCTCAGTTGAGGACTAAAAAGTAATTGATCAATTTCACATTGGATTTAAGCAGTCTAATTAAAGTTAATAGGCTGTTGAAAAAGAATCCTGATATTTTCTCTTGGGCCTGGACCGTCAATCGAGGGAATAATGCCCCCTCCCCAACTAGCCCACAATAATTTTCCACACTCCCTCGTTAATAAATAATACTATTTCAACCTAAAATAAAAACATAATTAGTTTATCTAATATTTGTTGGAATCCACTATCAATTAAATGATTGTGATTGATTTGATTAACAAATCAAGTCAACATTTTAAATACAAATAATATTTTATTTTTATTAATTAATATATCCACTTATCAATTAGCAACGAGTGGCCCAATCGTCCCCAAAAGTATTAGAAATATCTGTTCACTATTTTTGAACTTTTACAAGGACAATGAAATTTGAACTTACAATCTATCGGTTCAAGCTACGGTGCCCAATAGGCCAATAACTAATCCTTGTGACATTAGATATTGACTTTATATAACTATATTGACTTATTCTTAGGCTCTAAAAAAAAATTAAATGCCTTTTCTTGAATTTGCTTTTGGCAGCCATTTCTACGAGAAAATATTCGATACAAGGCTGTTTAGTGGTAATGATGATATGATATCATTAATTAATAATATTAAAATAAATAAATAAATAAATAAATGAACTCCACTAAAATTAATAATCAATCATTTATGTAACCAAATAATTACCATCTCTTCTTCCATGTTAACAATTAACTACTTAAGTGAACTTCACCTTACACAATTGGTGTTTCATTATGGGAAATTTAGAGGTCGGTCCCTCTTCGTGAACTTATTTACTGATAAATCTATCAAGAAAATTTATTTAATATTAAGTCCATTTTGATTTCTATTATCCAAAATATTCTCATTAGTTATATTTAATCACAACAAATTTGAAAAATAACAACTCCTAAATTTTAAAAGTTTGATATATATAAAATAATACTACTTAAACAAAAAATAATAATAATATTCAAAAATAAAAAATAGTAACATTGAATATTAATATTTTAAAAAAATAACAGTAGTAATTTAATCAACAAAAAAAAAGTGACATCGAATATTGATAATTTGAAAAAATAGTAACATTCAATATTAATAGTAACATATTCATAAAAAAAATAGTAATATGCTCAATAAAAAATAGTAATATACTCAACAAAAAATATAACATGCACAACAAAAAAAATAGTTACATGGAAAAAAAAATTGTAACATGCATAGTAACATTCAATATTAAATTAATCATAATCTTCTCAGCAAAAAAAAATGAGATAGAGAGAAATGGAGAAAAAGAAGATACAGATAGAGAGAGAGAGAGAGAGATGATAGTGATGACAAATTTAAATTTGAATTTCAGAATTTATGGAAAAAAATATTCCATTAAATGTGAATCAAGGATGGCTGTTTAGAAAATTGATTTAATGTTGAAAATTATTTTTTAAGTTATTGGAATAGTATTTTGGAGTTTTAAAAAAATAGTTGACTTAAATAGTTATTAATAAGAATAAAAATAGATTTACCCCCAAATAAGTTTCTTTGGCGGACTAAACTCATTATAAGTCCTTTAAGAAGAACTCAACCCTAATTTTCACTTTTATTATTGTTTTGTGATCTCATGTCAGCAGTACTGACATAGTATCATTATTATTTTCAATATTACGTTTTTCCATCGTATCATACGATACACAATATATACGATACGATACATCTAATACGTACGATATGTGAAAATTTTATTTCTTTATTTTTTATTTTTTAGTTTTTAGTTTTTTGTGGTTGAAATGATATCATTTCACTTTAGAAATTATTTTTAAATTATTAACTAGTGAAATAATATCGTTTCAATGGTTATGATTTAAAAAAATAAATAAAGTCTATTGTTAATGCAATTTAATTGAATTCAAAATTTATAATTAATATTAAGGTTATTCAAGTAGTTGATGTTAGAAGTTTGAATTATAGGTCTTTACATTTTAATAATACTAAACTACGTTGGAAACTTGAATAATTGGTAGAATATTAATAAAATGTTATGTTATTAGACCAAGTCTTTTGCCAAGTTAGTGCTCTCGTTTTATTTTTTCCAATGTTGTATTATATGCTATGCAAGTTTCTTTCGTTATACAGGTCGCCATTTTTCTTTTTTTTTTTTAAAAAAAAAGAAAGATTCAAATTTGGTAAAGTGAGTTCGAACGAGTTGAGTTCAAGGTTAAGATGGAAAAACTGTCTTATTCTAAAAAAAATCATTAAACTCACAAACAGTAACACCTACGAGTGGAAAAAGAGACGCCTCTGGACTGGATTTAATTCGAATTAGCCAACACACCTTAATGTAGCTTACCGCAATTTCAGTGAGATAAATTGATCGAGTATTTGAACCAAATTCAATCTATGCGATGAAAAAGTCGTTTTCAATTAAATAAATATTGATCATTGACAACTATAGAAATGGAATAATTGAATTAACTATTCAAGTAGACTATACAAACATACAGACTAGTAGCGTGAGAATGTGCACTACAAAATTTAAAAATATGACGTGAACGATGGAAAAAGAAGATTAACAAGCAAACAAGTACTAAATTACATAAATTTGAAGGCTTCTTAATCACGAGGTGCCTATCAAGTAGACACAATAAAACTCCAAGGTTCTTGACTTCCAAGGCTGCCCTCTTGTCTTTACCATAAGACGACTCCCCTTTCTGCATTGAATTCTCCGAAATTTCTCTTTCTTTCTTGCTGGCTCCATCTGTTTTTCCCCATTATCAAACGGTTTTGGCTGAACCCTATCAAACCCCTCTCTCTCTCTCTCTCTCTCATGCTTTCACTCCGGAAAATGGTCTGGGGATGGTTTTGTTGCTCCTCCGAAGAACAACCCAGGATCCGGTATGTTTTGGAAACTCATGTTTGATGATTTTCCGTTTCTTTTACTCGATATTTGTTTGTCACAATTTTTTGTTTTTCTGGGTTTTCTTTCTTTTTTTTTTTTTTTTGGGTTGATCAGTCCAAACAAGAACAGGGATTATCCATGGGAGATGTACACTCTGAAAGAGCTTCTTCATGCAACTAACAACTTCCATAATGATAACAAGATTGGTGAAGGCGGGTTTGGAAGTGTTTACTGGGGTCGGACAAGTAAAGGCGTAGAGGCAATCATGTTTACCTTTTTTTTTTCTTTCTTCTTCTTCCTTTAATGTTGATTTGGGAAAATAAGATTCGACCACAGAAGTTTTTTTTTTACTTATTGGATACCATACTAAGACTACTACAAAATATAAGTCAGTCTATGATACAATCTGGTGAGATAATACTAAAAGAGTTGTTTGAGTGATCCTAACATCTTAGGATCAATCATAATTCTTTTTTGTCATAAATTCACCCCATTGAGTTGTAATTTAAAGCAAAAAAGTTGTAACTTTCGTATAGTTACTTTTTCGTAGTCGAACAAATTTAAATAGAAAATAAAAAAGTATACGAGGTAAAAAAGTGGAAGAAGGTGTTAGCTAATTGAAGGACTCAACAAATCGTTCATATTGCAGATAGCAGTGAAAAGGTTGAAGGCCATGAATGCAAAAGCGGAGATGGAATTTGCCGTGGAGGTGGAGATACTCGGAAGAGTAAGACATAAGAATTTGTTAGGTCTGAGAGGGTTTTACGCTGGTGGAGATGAAAGGCTTATAGTCTATGATTATATGCCTAATCATAGCTTAATTACCCATCTGCATGGGCAGCTTGCTGCCGATTGCCTGCTAGATTGGTCACGAAGAATAAGCATAGCCATAGGATCTGCAGAGGGATTAGCGTAAGTATATTTTGTGATCCAACCATTAAGTTGAATTGCATTTTTCTGATATATATATATATCGATTTCTTTCCTATTTATCGTAACATGTAGATGGGTCTATCATGATATTTACAGGTTAAATGCTAGAATGAAAATCATTCCTTGACCCATTTAGTTTGAAAATCTTGAATTCAATCAATCTTGATTAGTAATGGGTCATGTCGTATCCTGTTTAATTTTTTTTCAATTGGTAAATCAAAATTTCATTGATATAAACTTTTCCATGATGTACATCATTGTCTTGTATAACCAAAAAAAAAAAACTTTTAACCCAAGAAGTACTCCTTCTAACCAAGTTAAATAGTGTCCTATCACTAGGCTCACCAGAATTGCAAAGGCTTCTAAAAAAATGAGCAATGCTTCTAAATATATAAGGGTACCATGATTTGGCAAAAACCCAAATAGCCTTCCTCAAACAAGTGAGACTTTGTATGGTGACTAAATAAATTTGTGTCGTTCCTAAGTCGTCTTCAACTAAATTTGTATTCACTCATATGTTACATGGGTCTAACGGATCAACCTTTTATGACCCATCTTAACAAGAAATTTTTCCATTCTGTTTTGCAGATACTTGCACCATGAAGCCACTCCCCATATAATACACAGAGACATAAAGGCCAGTAACGTTCTTCTAGATTCAGAATTCAAAGCAAAAGTTGCTGATTTTGGTTTTGCAAAGCTGATACCTGATGGAGTCACTCATTTAACCACAAGAGTGAAGGGAACACTAGGGTATTTAGCACCCGAATACGCCATGTGGGGAAAAGTTTCTGAGAACTGCGATGTTTACAGCTTTGGAATCTTACTCCTTGAAATAATCAGCGCCAAAAAACCCATTGAAAAGCTTCCCGGAGGAGTAAAGCGCGATATCGTGCAGTGGGCTACTCCATATGTACAGAGGGGTGCCTATGATCATATTGCAGACCCAAGGTTGAAGGGCAAGTTTGATCGTGCACAGCTGAAAATAGCGATAATTGTGGCGATGAAATGTACAGAAAGCAATCCAGAGAACCGGCCGAGCATGTTGGAGGTTGTGGAGTGGCTAAAGCGTGGTATAGCGGGGAGGAAGAAAGAGATGTCATTAATGGTGAAAGACATTGTTGATGAAAATGAAGACGACAAAGACAATGACGATGATGGTGGTACGGATTATGAGGGGTTTGGAATGGAAAAAATTGCACCCAGAGCGGCACCAAGAAGGAAAAGAATGCAAAATAATTGAAAGTATATTTATTTGTATAATTAATTTTAATCCTTTTTTTTTGGCCTTGTGGTGGTTGTTAATTCATGCAACTAAAGAAGCTCCATCGCTTGGAATATTTAGGATGGATTGGAAATTTTAATCCATTCAACCTCTCTTTTAGTGATTATTGTTTTAAGTCAATCATAAATGATATACGAAGAGAGGATGAATTTTACTGTCGTTGTAATATCATTGTTCTAATATATATTCTAAGTATTATAGGTGCGAATCATTGTAAAACATTCAACTTTCTTCTCTTAATATGGTGGTTCTAATAATTTTTAAACATCACAGGTACCAATCACCAAAACAATCTCACAGTAGGTATATACCACATTGATGATATAGAACGATGCATAGAATCATAGTACGTATAATAATTTATAGAAAAATTCAAAATCCTAAGATTTTTAAAAAAGAAACAAATCCCTAATTTTAAGAAAATTACTTAAAATAATAAAATACATGACTAATAAATTTGAAAAATGAACAACATGATTTAGGCGATGAGTGAGTTAAATATTATAATATTTTAAGAGTATTTTTTTTCTTTTCTCTGTTAATTGAAAGTGTTTTTATTGTTTACATTTGAAAACGATGATCTTTTTGTATCTTTCGTTATTGACTGCGTTAATTAATATCAGAACCTTGATTAGAAATAATATCAATTGAGAAATAATATCACACACATTAATCTTTCTCATCGTAATGTGCATTAAATAGTCTTTTTCAAATGATGTTAAGTGAGGGTGATCTGCCCCCACATGTCTGTGTATGAGCTTTTCAATCGTTTTCGGGGGAACAGAAAATTCGATGAATGAATAATAAGAATATGCCACTAGGGTATACTCTGCTGAGGACTTCGGACTTCAAACCGTTTATAGGATGTGACACGTGGTTTGGTGGCCGTCTTTTGATACCCACCTTTGTTTCTTCTGAAAAGTCTATGCGGACCAGGACAAGGACAACGACGCTAATTAACCCAGTCGTGTACTACAGGCCTTGGGCTTTTCCTCTCACCCTACTTGGACTCTTGAATACATTTACCCTCGTAAGCATGTTTGAAGATACTTCCAGCTAGAATTTTGTGCACTAATTCGCCCTTTTTTATAAAATAGCATTGAGATTTAGCAGCTTTGAGCTAAGTGCAAGATAGAGCTACAAGATGGACCTAAACATGGTGGATATGAGGTGATGTTAAATGGTTAGATGATCAATGAGGGGAACAGGTGGAACGATTAGTCGTCGATTAACATAGAGTCAATATATAGGATAAAATCGCACGAAAATCTGTGATTTGTTAGAAATGTAGAGGTTTTAAAAATCCATGACTATATCATCAAATTCAATCATTTAGCATTCAAATGAAGAAAATTATGTTCTACAAGTGAAAATTAATCAACCCAGTTCTATACTCATTCTAGGTTTTAACTGGATTTTTGTATTTTCTTAGTTATTTTTAAAGTTGTTTAGTTTCATTATTAGCAAGGGATGGGGTACAGGATAAGAGCCTGACCTAGTCTAAGAAATGCAGAAAAAAAAATTCAAAAGGTGAGGAGAGGACAGTAGAATCAACCACCCATTCCACTTGATTCCGTCAGCTGACAAGCTCTAATAGAGATTTCTTATAATTGTTAAAGGAATACGTTTTAGGTAATTGTCAAAGAATATCGGTGCAATTTGCAATAATTTCAGAAAATTATATAGCCTTTGCGGTATATTATGAGTATAATTAGGAGTAATCCGTTTATGAAGGCACGGTACAATGTAAATAATTTTGAAAGGGATATTGGTGGCCGTTAGATGAGTCTATTTGAGATCGTCAAAAAAACTTATTAAAATCTATCATGTTTTATATTATAGATTAAAATTTATCTTTATATATATAATATATGAGTAATATAAACTAGGATTAGGTGTATCAAATTTGTTGAGATTAAGTTTTGTAATTGGTCAAGGATTAGAGTCTTAACTGGGTCTATGTAAGTCATAGCAGAGCCAATAATATGATCTAGGGTGAACACACTTTAACTATAAATTTTACTTTATCCTCTAATAGATAAAAATAATTTGATATATTTATATTTTTATATCATATTTAATTTTTAAAGATTCATTAAAAATAAAAATGCCTAAAGCCGATATATATTATATACGAATAAAAAATAACTAAAAACAATAATCTAATTTAGACATGAATAGCATTATAATCACATTTTACTACATTAACCAAATAGATTTAGGGAAAAAAAAGAAAAGAAGGAAAACACTAATTTTCATAAAAGAGTGAGACTTGAGATCAATTTTCATAAACAATCAAAAACGACAATTTTTTTTTTAAGCCACCCAGTGTGGGTGGAGGGTTTGGCAAGACCCCTACCTGTATATATAATTAAAAGAAAAAAGTAAAGAGGAGGAGGGCATAAAGTCAAGCCTCCACAAGTGGAAGAAAGACAAAGTAAAAGTAAGGTGGTGACTCACCACCAAAAGCAGGAAAAATAAATAAAATAACTGAAAACATCAATAAAAATTCAACGACAAACGTGAGGAATCTGTCGAACGTCCAAGGCAAGAATGTCAGCAATCCCAAAAGGAAGGGATGACGAACCAGGGAATCGTTGATTGAGCTGCTGAGAACAAGCCCAATTAACCATAAAATCTGCAGCCTGATTTGCCTCTCGTAGGACGTGGTAGACATGAGCCGAGAAAAAAGCACACAAAAGCCTAATCTGAGCAAGCAGGTAAGACTAAACCCAGCCCAGTACTCTGAGAAGAAACCCAAGAAACCACTGTAGCTGAATCTGACTCCACTATCAACTTTGAAGCTCTCAAATTTGCAGCCAACTCCAACCCAGCACAAACAGTCTGTAAACTTCGCATACAGAATAGGCTGATGACCCATAAATAAGCCAAAAACCCTAAGTACCCGACCCTAGTGGTTCCGAATAACACCCCCTGTCACAGACTGCCTAGGATTGCCTTTAAAATAGCCATCAACGTTGATCTTCAGACAACCCACTATAAGACGAGACCAAGCAACCAAGCGAAGAGGTCGAGGCCGAGAAACCAAGACCCTAAGAGAACCCACAAATTCAACCGACCCATCCCGACGCAACTGACTCAGAGTAAACCCAAAAGTAAGCCTAACCAACTACATATCGGCCATAACCCTCTGAATCACAACGGACACATGAAAGGCCTAACCATCAAACCTATAAGCATTACGCGCCTTGCATAAGTGCCACAGAATGAAGCACGGTAGCAGTATCCGCACGTGACCTGCAGAAGAAGCACAAACGCTGCCAATAAAGCATCAAAGTATAAGGAGACTGGAACAACCAACATCTAATCCTAAACATCCGATAAAAGTGACCCCACGCCTGAACTGCAAGCGGACAATCCAGAAAAAGATGTCTAAGGGTCTCAATAGCCCCACCAAAAAACACTGGGATACTACATGGAAACCTCGTCTCTCTAAGCCATCATTGTGACCAAGAAACCATGAAACAACCACCACATAAAGAAAGCGATCTGAGTCAGAATATGCCTCTGCCAGACACAAGAAAACTCAGCCTGAACTGGAGTCATACCCCGAATATCAGCTCAAAGCAGTCCTCAAGGAAAAATCTCTATCCAAAAATAACCTCCACCTCATCTAATCAATCCCCTGATCCGGAATAGAAATCTGCACAATCTGCTCAACAACTAAAGAAGGTAAAATCCCTAACAATCAGCCTCTGTCCCACTGACGACCTGCCCAATAAGCAGAAACAGGAACCCTAGAAGCTGCCCCCAGGTACACTAAAGTCAATGGGTAATCCCCAAACCAACAATCATACCAAAAACTGACCTCACCAGACTGTACTAACCATCTGATCCTCGGCTCAGTCACGGATCGAATCTCACACAACCGCCTCCAAAGTGAAGCTGGGTAACGAAACTCAATCAGTCCAGAATTGGTGAACCTACAGTACTTAGCCCTCATAAAAATGGACCAAAGTGACTGTTGAGCACGAAAACTCCACCATAGCTTCACCTTACAAGCCTCGGCTAAGTCAAAAAAAGAACGCACCCCTAAATCGTCCTCCTCTATAGGGAAACACACCTCAGCCCAGTGACACGAGTGAATCCTCCAATGAGTAGCTGTATCACCCCATAAGAAACGAGTAAACATCCTCTCTAACTGGTTAAAAACATCCGCAGGAGGCTTCAATATGTGAAACAAGTGAATAGGCATCGACACAAGCACATGACGAATCAAAGTGAACTTACCTCCAAAGGAAAGCAAGGGATTCGCCCATCCAGAAATTTGCTCGCGCACCTTTTGAATCATTTCATCAAAGTATGAGATCCAGAGATGACCCAAGTAGATAGGGCACCTCAGATAAATAAACAGGAGGTCACGCCTCTGAAAACTAGTGATCTATCGTGCAATCACCTCTCTAGAATGCAAGACACGCGAATTGATATAGAAACTGCTCTTAGCCTGACTAACTAACTGACCAGAAACAATCTCGTAATGGTGAAGAAAATTCATAATTCGCTTCAAGCTCGATCGGCACCTATTAGCAAAAATAATGTCATCAGCAAAAGTCAAGTGGGAAACCAAATCCCCAACTCTAGTACTATAAGCCACCCCCTAGAACCGAGCATACAAAGAGTCCAAGTCTCGAGAGAGATACTCTGCAGCAATGATAAACAACACAAAGAGAAAGGAGTCACCCTGTCGCAACCCCCCCCCCCCTATGACTGAAAAAAACCCTGACTAACCTCATTCACCATCACAGAAAACCATGGCCCCATATAGCCCGCCGAACCAAAGAAATCAAAAGGGACAAATAAAATCCCAAAATTTTATGACCCAATTCACTACTTAACAAGTCAAAATATTACAATGTACATAACTTTTGACCTAATTAATTTTATTTTATCTAACCCATTAGGGAGGGTCCAATTAAAATTAATCAAAAAAATAAAAA